ATGTTTTTAAAGGAGAAAAGGGTATTGAATTTATGATTTATATTCAATAAAGTTTTAATGGGGATTTTAATAAATAATAATAACAAAAGTTTTGTATTGGATTTCCTGAAATTTCTAAATACGCCACTGCAGGCTATCTGAACTATTTTCAAGAAAAAATAATTATCATATAATTTACTGATAGGTACAAACATAATGTTGATAGTTCAATAATAGTATTTGAATATTTCTATATTTTTTGTATAGTGGCATAATATTTTTTAATAGAAAATTGAACCAATAAGATACTATTGAAATTTTAAGTCAAAATGGAAAATGCTCAGTGTTTTTCAAAATAATCAGAAAAACATAAATAAAATTATGAAACAACAAAATTTACTACGCATTTTTATCTGTACCTAATACTAAAAAACRAATAACCAATATAAATCAATAAATTTCTATAGGATTAGCATTTTAGGTATGTTGTTACATAATAAAATTTTCATAAAATTTTGATACATTTTGAGCTATATGTCTAAATAGAAATTTAACATTTTCGATTTTTCAGTTATTTTTTCAATTAACTTCAATAAAAAAATGTATTGTTCGTCAAAGACCTTGAAAATACATTAAAGCTTCCCGTATTTTTTTAGTAGGTAGTACTATTAGTAGTTAGTACTATTAGTAGTTAGTACTAATTAAAATATATCGAAAACACATGGTCACAATATTATTTTTTTAGCGGTAGAAATTTAGAACCGAAAGTATATATAATATACATAGAAATTTGACAAAATTAGTCTCAATCGTGAAAATTATTGTGCTGTTGAAATCAATATTCATATCAAGGTTTGAGAATTTAATACAAAATTCTTTTAAAATTGTAAAATAAATATTGGATAAAAAAAWTTKTTATGAACGTCTGAAGTTTACATTTTGACGAAGTATTACGTTTCTACTTGTAATAATTGTRAAAATTCTAGTTATTCTAGTTTTTTTTCTATAAATATAAATGAACAAAAAGTTTGAAAATTGTATTTAAGGTTTCTCATAACCATAAGTAATTCATTCAAGAATCAAATATATTTGATTTTTTTCTAACGAATAGGTATTAACAATTTTAGTCATTTTGTACTACCTAATTAAAAAATATTTTGTGGGGATTTGAAACTTTCACATTTTCTATTTAATTCCTAAAAACAACTGGCAAGGAACCTTGTATTAAATTTTAAAACTTTTTGATCCAACGAAAGATTATATTTTTTAATATTAAAATAATTTAAAAAAATTTAAAATTTAAAATATCGTTAAAAATATGTTTCTATCACAAGATGTGGCAAAATATTTTGAAAATTTTATCATGTTAAAAATAATCATTTGATGACAATTTGAAATATCTACGGATATTAGTTATGGAATCAAAAATAACGATAAAATAATTTAATCATTCAATGAGAATTCGTACTACATTTATATCAGATATCTATAATATTATAGCGAGTTAAATAAGTATTTAAGAATTGTACATTTTTTGTACGTTTTAAAATAATTATAACTCGCTTCCAAATTAAGATATTGTAAAAAGCCTATGAGGTCGACGTAATAATATTCTTATCCAGTTACCCATAAATTTTGTAAGAGGTCCATTCACTCAAATTTTTTGTACAAACGGAGCTAAACGTGATCTGCAGCTGAGCGTAAAATTTGGTAAATATATTATACACAGAGACGGAGAGAACACATGTGGATATCACGTCCTCTTAATCGTTTTTTTATTCTTATATACACATAACCAAATTATGATTATGTTGGGCTTTGGTTTAACTCTTCAGTCTGTATTAAAAATATATTATTGTACTATAGTACTGTAGAAAATCATTTGATTTTCAATGGAAGATTAAATAAGGTAGGTTAATATTTCTCCAAAAACTTAATAAAATCGTAATTTTCATAGTGCAACTGTGCGATTGCCCAATGGGGACCTGTATGGGCCTGGTGAAAAATTAAATAAAAAAAATAAAAAGACAAAAGTAATAAAATTTTTTTCATATTTTTCCAATCACTT